TGTATACTGTACGGGCGTCGTAAGGGGCTTAGCGTATGGTAAAACTTGACTAATAACTGAATAAAGAGAATCGACCAGGAGGTCACCTTAAAACCAAAAAAAAAAAAAATTTATTTGTATATTTAAACAATAAAATTACTTTTAATATTTTTAAACTTATCTAAGGTAAATTGGAGTATAATAGCACATAGAGATAATTTTGCACACTAAAAATAACTCATAAAAACAAGATTTTTTACTAAGTAAGTTGAACTTTATCCACTAAGTAAAGTTATTAAAAATACTATTTATTAGATATATTCAAATTTTGATATGATTTGGTTAATTTTTCATTAATTGATTTTCATATTTTACATCCTGAGACAGAAATTTTGCTTTTTGTACCTAATATATAATATGATAAAAAATTAGCCAAATTGTATCAAAATTTGGATATATCTAGAAAATAGTATTCTAAATAACTTTACTTAGTGAATAAAATTCAATTTGCTTAGTAAGAAATCCTGTTTTGTGTAAAAAATTATTTAGCAAACTACATACGACTTCACTGCAGCATTGTGATTATTTCAAACTCATTTGCTGATTTGGTTGATTTGTTAATTTTTTTTTTTAGCTGTTAATACATTTTCATGTTTAACCTCAAAGTAGTTTTTTTAAATCCCCAAATAGGTATTCTATTCATGACAATTCAGTTTTCTTCTCTTCTTTTTGTATATATTTTTTTTTATACCAGACTTTTTTTTATAGATCTTGCTTGATTTCAAAACAAATTAATACCAGAATAAACAACTTGGGTGAATTTCTAGAGAAATATATTTGGTTTTGTCTACAGTAAGTATTAAATGGATCCCCAAGCACAAGTTGCCCTGACAGCAGCTCCTTTACCTATGCATCTACAATATCCACTTCAACCATAATATTATAATAATCTTAATAGATTTTGGCAAGTACATGAAATACGATACAATGTTAGTTTTTATTTTTTATTTTTTTTAATTTTTCTAACTAAACTTTTTTAAAAATCTTGCTTGGTTTCAAGACAAATTGTTATGAGTATATAGTCATTATGACATAGTATAATAAGTAGTTAAGTCATAAGTGCTGGGTATAGCTATAGTACAGTTTTGTTATGATACCAGAGTTTTGTGATTATTATGTAATTTTTATTTAATAAATTTTAAAACTTTATATTATTGCAATTGCAATTACAAAATAATTTTTACCTGAGTAGCACATAGGCAATTCTTTATTCTTTTTTAATAAGTTAGTCCCTCTTAAATAGTACTTTAACTTTTGCTAATTCAGGTATTTGATAATAGGTTACCTTTTCTATATCTTCATTTATTACAGCGAATATTTGATAATGGATTACCTTTTCTGTATCTTTATGTTTTGTGATAGATATTGGCTAATAGATCACCTTTTCCGTATCTTTATATCTTGTAATAGGTTGTTGAATGAAGCATTTTTTGATGTGTTGTCTATTAAGTTTTTCTTTTTTATATGAAAAATTTTGCCTAGGTGATATCTTGTTACCTATTAATATATTTCCATTGTGTATATCACGGTGTATAATTTTATTTTCATGAATCCATTTAATGCCTGTAAAAATATTTCTAAGAAAGTCAAGTTTCATTTTCCAAGTAATATCCTTAAAATTATTTGATAAATAATTATTTAGACTTCCATTCGACATATATGGCATAACAAAAATATAATCTTTTGTTTTTGGATTTTGTGACACTCCATAACATTGAATAAGGTGGCGCACGTGAGAATTAGGTTGACTTTTAATAATATTTTGTAACTGCGACAAAAATGACAAATTTTTAGAGTAATGTATTGATAGTTAAAATAAAGTTTATCTAATATTACCTCTTTTAAGAATGTTGAATTAATATTTTGGGAATCTTTAAGAATTTTTAATGCAACCGTTTGATTCCTTCTTCTATTATATTCATTTTTTGTGCTGCTCCAACCTGTTATTTCTCCTTTTGTCCATGCCGCTGTATATATTTCGCTAAAACCACCAGTTCCAATTTGGGTTACATCTGTAAAATCGTTAAATGGTATCCATTCTAATCTAAATTTAGGTTGATTCTTGTACGTTGCTTTGATCAGAATGTCAATATCTTTATTTCCGCTATTAACGTTAATATTTTGAAATCGCGTATAACAACTGGCACACAACGTATTATTCTCATATATAAGTTCATTCCTCTTATTACAACCAATGCATTTAGTTTGTTTGGAATGGCAACGAATGCATAGATTATCAGATCTAAGTATTCTATTTTTATTGCAGTTTATGCATTTTTCTCTATTTTGTTTCATATTTATGCTTTATTTTATTTGTCTAACTTTTGTATATTGAAAACGAAAAAAAGCTGTATAATTTAATAGCCTACATATAAGTTTTATGTTTGTTGAAAAATCGCCTTATATAACGATAATAACAATGGAAGCGTATTAAATTTAAAAAACAATGTATAGTATAGGTAAAATTGGGAATTGTGCTTATTAAAGTAGTAGCACTATAGAGGCATTATAAACGATAGTTAAATTTGCATTTTATTTAACGGGAAAAAGAAGTTATTTATACTTTTTATTTTTCAGCGCACACTTTTGAGTCTTTTTCCATATCGAACGTTGTGAAGGGGTAGATCGTTGCTTGAAATAGGTTTTTCTATATTTGGTGGATCAGATACATATCGGGCTTAGCAAACTTGGCGTGCATCTTGAACATTTTGTACACAATGCACATAGCGTACTTATGGTACTTATGGTACTTATGGTACTTATGGTACTTATGGTACTTATGGTACTTATGGTACTTATGGTACTTATGGCACTTATGGCACTTATGGCACTTATGGCACTAGTGACCCTTATTCCACTTATTGCCCTTAGACAATGTAGTAAAATTATTACTAGTACGCAAAGTTCATACTACTCAGTAATCATGTAAAAGTTATAAAAG